AAAAAGAGAGGCGGAGGGTAACAGTGAGCTCAGCAAGGAGAGGTCAGTTCTATCATTACTAGTCCCACTGATAAAAACATACAAACCTGACCGTTGCTCAGCCGATATTAACAGCTGATACCTTCACTACAAAAATACAGCTTGTCTTCATGTTGAATGTGTTGTGTCTTACTTGTGTGAAAAGAGCCTGTTAGGACACTCACAATAATTCAGAACACATGAGGTCTGTTATTTCCATCAATACAAAAGCACAGTGACTGCTGAGCAAACACTTTAATTACAGCTTTCTGCAGTGACCAGAGAGAGAAACCTGGTTCACACAGCTAGATTGGTTCTGTAGACCATGTAGACATTTCCTTTCTAAACTCCTCAGAGAGTTTCACTGAAATACCTGTACAGTGCCCAGAGATACAGATAGATGAAGATAAAAATAGAACTGCCAACTGCTCTGGTTGGCCTGCCTTTATGGACACTTGGCATCAACATGAAGGATCACACCAACAGATTGCCATGAACACCACTAACTGTGGCAGTGTCAGAAAGGTAAAAACAGGTCCTCGAAATCAACCATTAACATCATTTGTTTCTGTGAACATTACTGCAGTTGTTCCCTAGCCTTAACCATGTGGTTATTATTGTAACCATGGCGACAAAGGTCCTTATGAACAAATAAATCATTTGAACTCAAACCATGATCTTTCTTTGAACCTAACCAAGTTTGTTTTTGTACCTAATCCTAACTAAACCTCATAATATTTTTGGGTCATATCAAATGATGCCATCCTGTCCACATGGGTGTCAGACATTGGTGTCAGTCAGAAAACGCTTGGTTGACAGTGTTGGTTTGTCTTAACAGCACCTAATGATAACATATTAATACTGGCACTGTTGATTTCTTTTAGACATAATACATTTCTGAGGCACTTTGATAAATACTACATACTCCGATTTATAATGACTAGAACTCTTAATCTCAGAAAGTATGAAAAACCTCCAGAATATAAAGAAATACTGCAGTGTGATACGATATCTGTCACCTGTATAGAAACAACAGAGCAGATGTTTTATACCTGTGATATAATCCAAAGCCTATAGAGAACCTTACACGACAGGCTTATTTCCAAATCCATAAAGATATATAGATTAATAATAATAATAATAATAATAATAGAAATATACTATTATTTTCCTCCTGACATTTTCAAATTGGAGTAATTTTATAGTTAATAATATAAATATAAGGAAATATTACAATCATAAATGTTGATTCACCAAATCAACTCCAATGTGACATCTAAAATAAGGAAGATCAGAAATGGCTAAAGATGATCATTACTTAATTCCTCTTATATCACAGTGCTGATTCAACTTAATTAAGCAGTAGGAGGTGTGATCTGTGCTGGAAAAAGGAAAATTGTTTTGATGGTACAAAGTCAGTTTGTAATTGTACCTGCTTCTATATAAACATACATCAGACATCAGCTGACCGCTCTCACTTCTTCCCTGCTACTGACTGCAGCCACTTTTACTTCCTGACTGTTTGGAGGGCTTCCTGAAACAAATGTTCACATTCAGAGCAGTTAGTCAAAGCAAGGTGACTTTATTTGTACGGCAAATACATTAGAAAGTATAAAAGCACAATACAAAGTTAAGTATAATTAAAAAGGTTCCACACAAGAAAACATTAAAGGAACATTACTACAGTGTAAAAGCATATCATATCAGTGATCTTCCTTTATAAAAGTAGCAATACAAAGATGTAAATGCAGTCCAAATACAAATCCTGTATTAAAATGTTACTAAAGAAACAGTACAAAAGCATCAGTGCAACAGCATTTGAACATTGTTTACAATTTCCACATAATGACCAACTTAACACCCATTCTGTTTATTTGCATCTGGCAATTCTAAAGCATAAACCCCTCTGACAAATGTTAAATATTTATTGAAGTGCAATTTTTGTTAACATTTTGTTTACTTTAAAGGGGGGGTTTATTGGTTTTATTTATCAAGGATATTTTGATATTTTTGTCACATCCTAATTCCAATGTCTGAATATTTGTAAGAATTAAAGGTTCATTGCTATTTGAAAGAGTGTACTTTGCATTTTTGTGCCAATCATTGTATCAGAGACAAAAATGGTCTTAAAATGACGCAATTATTTCTGGGACAATATATCGTCCAGTAGTACAAAGTAGTGAGCTTAAAGCTCAGTGAAATTAGCTTGACATTAGTAAAAATTAACGGCATTGCAACAGATGTGACAACAAAGTCACATTAGGCTACTAAACCTAATGAAATAAGTCCAGATGAGCTTTTGGAAAAGTGAAACATGATGGAAGTCTGGTTGGGAGCTGTGTGGCAGAGAACTACTTTCAGTTGTCTGTGCTGACTCATTTTGAATGTTCAGTTCGTAAATGATAGTACAGCGGACATCTTGTGATGTTCCCAATGTAAACAATTATTTCTCTCACAATGACCTACAGTGGCTGTATTCAGTTGATATGTTTTAACCCACACTAATGGAATGGCTCAGATGGTGGATGGATCACCACGCATGTGAATGTAGTGCATGATAAAGACTGTCTCTGAACATGAGGCTTGATGTTACTCTACTGCTTTTTTTCTTTTTTTGTTTCATTTTGTGTTTCCACTCTTCCGCTCATGTTGCCACTGAGGAATTCTAATATTTTTCACAACACAAACTGAGTCATCTACCTCCAGGACTGGAGACTGTAGGCGGGAAAAAGAAGAAATAAAAGACATTAAAACAAACTCAGGTGCAGCCTGTTGTGTGAAACATTGTGAGACATTAACTTAAAAATGAGTACTTAAAATAAATTCAGACCTACCAGAGTCCTTTTTCATTGTTAGCCTGCCTGAAATCCAAAAGCAAGACACAGTTAATAGCTTTAGCAGTTAGCGACCATCCTGGAGGCAGACAACAATGGGAATCGGTAGGTATTAGGTAGTTATATCAGGGATTCAAAATAAGCCCTAACCTGTGGTCACAAGTCCAGCAACTGTTAATAACGATAATAATAGAGGTATATATGCATAATAATTCCTTGAAGAACTTCGACAGACAACGTCACTGCTCGTACTTCCTTCTTTGACCCTTACTTGGGTTTCTGGACAGCTGTTGGAAAAGAGACATAAAACAGCTTCAGTCAGCACAATACAGAGAATATATATTAAACATGTTCCATTATAACTTGTTCCACTGCAGAATGTGCAGCCATAAAACTCAACTGCTTATCAACAATCCAATCAGTGCACAACTACAGAGGTCACTTTGTGCTCCATGACAAACAATGTCTTACACAGTCCAAGCCGTGCAGTCCACACCATCCTGTGAAAAACTTCCTGGCTGACAAACTTCACACACTGTATCATTTCTGCTGGTTCCTAAGAGAAACAGACAGGAGTGAGATTAATTACACACAAAGAAAGATCCAGTGAAAATCCATTATTTATCTGACTCACATTGAGATTGTGATCACTAATCACAATCACAGACACAAGAGAGGCGTTCACTGACAGAACCATTTGACGAACCGGAGTCACATACATACTGGCAAAAAAGTATGAAAGATACAAAGGAAAATTATTATTGGAACCATGTCTGTGTTGTTTCATAGTTATTATAGCATGATCAATAAAAAAATCTTTCTTAAAAACATATACATATTTTACACAAAGTACATTAACTTCATTAATCCAATCCATTTTAAAGAACCCACTCATATAAATCATATTCAAATTACATTATTATCCTGAGGACAACCTGTAAAGAGCACAGGTGTTTTCATCAGTTTTCTACTAAAAACCACAACTGTCCAAAACTACATCATGTTTTCTACTTTGCAGCAGAGAGTAGTAAAGCAGCAACCTCACTCTCTCTCCCTGGAGTTCAGAGATGAATACATCTCAAGTCCTGATTTTTGATTTGTTTAGATTTCTCTTTCTTCTTTAATGATTTAAGTCTCGCCAAAAGGATCGGTCAGGATCTAATGTAAATGTTATTATTGTGTTCAACTTTAATAAATATTAGGAGAGATTTGCTGCAGTGACATTACTGTGTGCATGGAAACATTTCCATCATTTATAAAGCAATACATCGAGAGTAGAGAGTGAGTCTCTAAACTGGAGAAAATAACAGTTCAGGAGGATGATTTAGGCTTCATGCAGATTTGGTTCCAGAGCCGATCTGTGCAGTTCCCTTCAGCACAGATTGAAAAGCCCATAGGTCTGCACACTGGAACAATTTAAACAGTTCATAAGAAAAAGAACAGTTGTTCGTGTTGACCTAACGTTATCATATGTGTTTTGTTGTTTGCTGTGATTGTGATGGGTCATTGTATGTGGGTTTTGGCAGGCAGCTGCTGTCCCCTCTTCCCAGTACACTAACTTTCAGTGTGATCCCCAGGATGGTTACTGAGATGCTTGATAAATATAGGTACATTATCCAATACTCATACAAAAATGGACGTGTGCAGCCTGACCTCCAGTTATGAGTAGTTGATAATAATGATACCTGATGTGAGAAAGAAACTGTTGATAAAATGACCCAGGTTGTAAACTAAATTGTCACTCTTGCATTCAGACACAGGAATGACACACGTGCTGTATTCAGAGGAGTCAAAGACATACCTGGATACTGTCAGCAGCATGTATACATGGAGCTGAATAAAAAGGTTACTCCATGTCCCATGGAAACGTGTATGTCCATCAACATGTTCAAACCAAGACAGTAGTGTGTAAACTTACTACCAGACTAGTTTGACTTTGATTTCTCTTACCAGCTTCCTTTATCCTCTGACCAGGCACACAGCGTGTGTGTTTGTCTGCTGAACTACATCCTGAATCATCGGCCCAGCTTCTGCAGAAATACCCCTCTAACACATCACAAAGTGCATCCCTTGATCCAGTGCACTCCTGTTGGGCAAACAGACCGTGACCTAAAAGCAACCAGAAACATAGTCATTATATTGATGCTCTTTATACATTTGAGTCCACTTTGAACAATATCTGAAACAATGAGATAGTTCATCATCTCATTTTTGGTTGACTGCAACCAAACAAGTGAAATCCAAACTCCTTATCAGCACATAGTAGCTGGCCAATCAGAGCGCCTGTTGCTGCTCTGTGGTTCACTCACTCACACATCTTCAAATTAAAGAGAGCGGTCTTTAAATGAAATCACACCAACCTGAATTATTTGGGTTCACTTTTCAGTAAACATGCTGAATGATGTTCATTACTAGGGCTGCAATTTAGGATTCATTTCATTATCACCCACCTTAACTAATTCCTTGAATTAATTGATTAATGGTTCAATATATAAAGTGCCAGAAAGCAGAGAGAAAAGCATTCATTACATTACCGTAAGTGTGTGTCATCCAACCTTTTTAAAGACAGACATATTCACAACTCTATTTACACACACAGAAAAGACCAAACAGCAAATAATCACACTTGTTACTTTTGGATATTTCTTTAAAGAATGACCTGAAGGGGGCGCCTCCGTACCCTAGAGTTTGAGCTGTGGTGTCTCCACAGACTTCTGTTTTGTGTCATTCCAATCTCACTCTTCCCTCTCTACTGTCAAATATCAGATCAAGGCATAAAATGCTGCAAAAAATACAAGAAAAAGGGCCCAAACGATTAACTGGCTTTTATTCTTAGTAAAGGAGGCCTGAAATACAATCACACACATGCAGGGCTTATAGACACGCAAATGTGGAGAGATAGTGGAGTGATGGGCTGCCACACAACAGTACTCTGGGAGCAGTTAGGGGTTAGGTGCCTTGCTCAAGGGCAGAACTGGCGCCTCTCTACCAGTCCACACTGTGGAGTGTCACGGTTTAGTGTGATAAACCACACCCATTATTTCCTCAGTCATTCTCTATCTCGCTGCTAATGTGGATCGACTGCCTGGCAGGTCCTGCTGGTCATGGGATGAGGGTCTGGTTTTGAAGTGGGGCTGTAGTCTCAACCGGAATGTTGACGAGAATTTGTCTGATTTCAAGGTACGTGTCTAATTAGGTTAAACAGTTATAGTCAGCTTCGTTTTAGCTTAGTCAGAACAATGCACCATTGCACACTGGACTATATGCAGTTTGTGGTTTTGTAAAAAACAGTTCACTATTGGTCTGGTGAGCTATGGCTGTGGATCGCAGACTGCAGGCAGAGCAGTTGAAGATTGCATTTCAGCACATTTATACTAAATCAGATTTTCTTTATCTTCAAGTACCAATACAAGAACTAACCTTAAAAAGAATCATTTAAAGCTGGTTCCCTATCTTAACCATTTTCTTTAAGCCCCCCTATTTGTTTGTTTTAGTTTAGTCAGATATCCTAATTCCTTTTCCCTGTTACTGCATGTGTCATAATCAGAGTGTCAGTGGGAATGAAAGGCAGAAATGTGAACTCATTATGAACATACTTTTGTCACAGGAGGTGCAGGAGAAACAGCTTTTCAGGCCATTGGGTTGGTTCATAAAGGTCCCTGTCTTACAGGGGCTGCACCGTGTGCCTGACTGTGGTGTGCAGTCTCTTATAACAACTGTACCTGTTCAACACAAAAACACACTGTCAGCATCACGTTATCACCACGACATTGTAGGGCTGCTCGATTATGGAAAAAATCATAATCACGATTATTTGGATCAATATTGAAATTACGATTATTCAAACGATTCTTTTTTTAAACTTCAGAAACATGCTGCATTTATTGGACATTTGTCAAAAACACTTTGCAAGGAAGTCCTCAGTTTCACTTTCCTTTCCCCATAAACATTTGTAAGTCTCCTCGTTACCTGTTCAAACGAAAACAACGTGACAGGAGAAGACTGCAACTAGTGTCGCGACCACCGGCGCAAGTATAAATAGTTACGGTGCTCCCGTGACTTCACATTGTCGCGCGACAGGTCGTGAACGGCGAGTATACCGAGCGCATGATGTGCAGTGCTTGCTGTGGAGGAGGGACGGAAATACGCATGCGCGATATACGCAGACTGTATACAACGTTGCACAACAGAAAATGAAAAAAAAAAATCGTTTCCCCCGATTTTATTAGTTTTGAGATCGTTTGGCCCCAAAATCGTAATCATGATCAAATTTCAATTAATTGAGCAGCCCAACGACATAGATGGAAAATAAATGTGACAAAAAAGAACACAAGATAACATATGACAGACCATGGTCTTGTTTTTCTGAGGAGCCTATCACAGCTTCAACAAAAATGTCAAGATTGCCTTTAGCTTGTTTACTTTTTTGTAATTTCATTTCAATCACTTGTCAAACCACCAACATCCCTTTGGACTCAACTTGACCTGCACATATCAGTTTGTGTTTCCTCTCAATCCAAACCCCTACATAACCAGCAGGAAAGATACAGCTAGTCTAGATTTTGCTTAGAGATAAGATCATTTCCATGTCCAAGGTCTTATAAATAACTACTTATATGTGGTTTTCTGTGTAAGCTTGATCTTTGAAATCTAATTTGCTTTAGAAATTAAGAAACCATGTTTGTTTTGTACAGAGCCAACAAATGTCACATCATCATGATTTAGTTTTTTAGTAAATCATATCACATATCAGTCACAATAATTGCCATTTGATGTTTTTACCATATCATTCAGCCCTAAATGATGGCATTTTAGTGTACTTTCTGCTATACGTCACAGTGACTCATATTTCTCAACGTCAGTGCTTGAGTAAGAGGGAGGCTGTAAAAGATATGTACTCAGCAAATAATATGCATACCAGAATGTGTGGTATTGATATTTTCGACCGCTGTGCTCTCCTACGCTGTGATACATGGTAAACAAGAGGAAACAGAAAAGTAAGGTCAGAGAATAAAGTTAATATGAAATGTTCTGTTTAGGTTGTATGTGCATACTATTTAAAATAATGCTACACAAAGAAGCTAAAACATTATTTTGATGAATTAAATCTTATCTTCTTTAGGAATTTCCCCTGTTTCATTATTTATGGACTTTATTTAACTATTTCTGGTTTTGCTTTTTATGGGGAAGCAGTTAGATTAGCATATTTCTGCCTTTGTGTGTACAATGTTAAGTCTTGAACTGATATGGCTTTGATGTTTGAGTGGCACACTCACTACAGTTTTTACCAGTGTTTAGCTTCATTTATGTGAGAAATAAATGTAATGCAAAATGAAATATAAACAACAAAGGGGGCAGAACAATAACAAAATATATAAAACAAAGGGCAAACAAGAACATGAGTTTGTCGTGCTCTAACACACACAAAGACCCACTCTTAAATGTCTCATACTGAATAACGCATTTAACTAAATATCACACAATACTAAATAAACATGTGTACAGCCCTGTTACACGGTATTACAATGTTAATGTCTGAGCTCTGTCAAATGAAAGATAATGTCACACCCACAGTTGTAAAATGGCCGCAATGTGTCATTGCTTATATTGCTTTATAGAAGTTACTACCAATGCTTCAGACAGAGTGGTACCTGTGTTGCACCTCGGACAGCACAGTCCAGCACTCGCAGCGTACTCAGTGGGCCCACAGTCCGACTTCGGTACCGCGAGGCCGGTCAAACACCCTAATAAGGAAAGTGTTACTATTAGCATTTAGCTAACGCCAGTTATGCTAACGTTAATTCCAACTTAACGTTAGGTTTGTTTTCCGTTAAGTAACGTTAACTAGCTTACTTACCGAAGATAACCAACGTCAAAAGCATGATAACGCGTGCTATCACATGGTTTAATTAAGTTTTGGATACAGCAGTTCAGTTATTAGTTTATAAAGTGGTAACAACGAAACTGATGCACTCTAGCTAGCTAGCCAGTTAGCGAGCAACTAGTACTGGGAACCCCCGAAGAACCGTGTGGAACGGGACTTCCGGGAGTGTGGTTTGTGTACGTACTATCAATGCTAGTGCAGCTTTCACTGTCAAATACTTCAATTGTGTCACAACTGAGACACCATAAAAACCACACTGCAGCGACCAACAACAGCCGGAGGTCGGCCGCTTAGGACTCAACATGAGTTAGCAGCTCATATATACAGCTACACCCGGGGGGGGGGGGTTGACCGCGGGTTGACCGCAGTGCAGAGCGAAGGAATAAACGCACCCTGCAATCACAACAGGGGAAGTACTGGCAGTGGATATGCATTGTTCCGCATTGTTCCACATATTGTTCCACATATTGTTCCACAGTGAGGAGCAGCGCCAGTTCACTGCTGAATAGTTAAAACATTAAAGGTCCATTGTGTAACATTTCGGATCTCACCTGAAAATACTGTAAAACTGTGCTATACTATTTCAATACTCTGGTTTACTCTGACAATTGTATATTACTTGTACTATTATTAATTATACTGCAATTATACTGGCTATTGTTTTTTGCTCTTTTTTTCATTAGTATATATATTCACAGATGCCGTTATCAGCAATATTAATTATTACACTGCTGCTGTATATTGTTGCTGTGTAAATAAAAAATAACGTATATATTGTAGTAAAGGGCACTTTTTTTTTACATACTTGTCCTTATTTTCTATTTTTATATATTATACTGAAGTAAAATGCAAATGTCTTTGCATCCACACTCTCATTTTCTATTTTTTTATATATAGTATAATGCACAAATTTGTTTACATACTTATTTTCTATATTATTGTTATAATGTGTAGTATGATGCACATATTTCCGGATACATTTTATTCTTAATTTCTTTTTTTGTTAAGCAACTTCATCAAATGCAATGTAACCCAATTTCCACCCGGGGATCAATAAAATATCTCAGATTCTGTTGTGTTTATAGAATGGAGGCATTTTTATCTACAGATGTCGCATGTCGCCTCCATCACATTGAACTGCCATATTTCTACAGTAGCCTAGAACGGACAAACCAAACACTGGATAGGGCTTTTGTGTTTTTTGTGTTTTGCAGCCATTGCAGTTGTTCCTTCACACTTAGTAGGGGAGGGGGAAGCGAGATGGCACTAAATCCTACACACTGGACCTTTAGGTATATCATGCATTACTGATGTGTTGTTCATGATCTAGTATACTCCTTTTTCACAAAAAAAAAAAAAAAAAAGACAACAATAAGATAATCCTATAAAGTATTTGTAAAATAAATTCCAGAAAGGTGTCATTTTAGTAATAACATGAAGACCCAAGCATAGTGAGACATGTTGTGCCAGGCAACAATGTTTGATGTTTTCACAATATTTAAAAGTTTTTGTATTAAGCATAATGTCAAATTATGGTCTGGAAATCATAAGCTTTAGCAATATTTCATTAGCAATGTAATTATGCTAATGTAATAATATATTGTTACAATAATTCAAGTAATACATGTGCACACATACTAATAAGAATGAATGAAGAGCTGTCTGGGAGAAGAAAGAGCAGACTCTTATTATTGAGCTAATGATCTGGATCACTAAAAAGAGCCTGAATTCTGATGAGTGGAAAGCCCAGGCATTTTAAGCTGCAGGATGTTGTGGAGGAGCCAACCAGCAGCAGAGAGTCAGAGTCAGTTAACACTTAACATGATTCATGTTAGCAAAACACAACGTTAATATTGAGTGTGGTTTTAGTCGAGATGGGTTGCTTGTTCTGTTTACAGGCAGCAAATCTTTATAATACCATTAACGTTATGTTACTAATATTACAGACACTTAACTAATGTACAGCTCAGTAATAGCGTTAACTTACGTTACGCTGTTATGACATAATTGTAATAACGGTAGCAGTTTTGGTGAGTGGTAACAGCCTTACTGCCTTCTAAAAATATTAATTTAAAAGTTATAATGCAGCCTAACTTCTGTTCACGTGTGTGTGTATGTGTGTGTGTGTGTGTGTGTGAGAGAGAGAGAGAGAGAGAGAGAGAGAGAGAGAGTGAACATTTGCTCTCACTTTGCGGAAATAATATCGGGATATATATCATATATCGATATTCAGCCTAAATATATCGGGATATGACTTTTGGTCCATATCACCCGGCCCTAGGCTGAGCCCATTCATCCAGCCAGTAAGGAGAACAACAGGTTTACACAAGATCTTCACAGGTACAGAGCACACTCACAAAAAGCACAGGGACAACCTAGACACAGGTCAATAATACGACCAGGGCTGTGAGGTCAAGGTCCTGAGCACATTCACTCAAGCCCTGGAATGATTACGTTTTAATGTAGCATACTGGTACTTTACTTGATTTTGCTTTTTGTTTTTGTCCAGCACTCATTTAAAGGTAAAGGTAAACAAATAATAAATACAATAATAAATACTGTCAATAATACTACCACATTTAGTAACATCTGTGGGCTTGAAGACTACAGCTTTCAAAAAACTATTTATTATAGATGTTGGAACTATTAACATTGAGCATTTAAATAACACGCATCTAACATTAATACAATGACAGTGCACTCATTAGCATAATGATATATACACATTTTACCTTTATCTACAGATGCAAACAAACCCATATATACATATAAAAAAATAGAATATTGAGAAGTACACATTTCTGACAGACAGTATGGTTTCAGAACAAACAGATCAACATCCATGGCTCTAATGCAGTAGTTCCCAACCTTTCTGCTTTAAGGGACCCCTTTTCTATCATTAAGTAAACTGACCCCTAACTTATTTGATGGACATTTCACTTTATATTCAGTGTATAACAACAACAGTGGAGAATAGATTAACTGTACAGTGGACCCAAACACTGAACACAATGCAGAAAGTTTGTGTAAAACGAGTAATACATTTTAAGTAGATATTCTGTGAATATTACAGATGACTTTTTCTGATATTTTCAAGAACTTTTTATACAATTCTTTCCCTCTATTATGTATTTTCTTTATTTCTTAACAATCATACATATTTAATAGGCTTTTCATAATTAATAATTTTCAAATTCAGTGTTTTCTTCTCTGTAACGCTTGGCCATTGTTCCATTAGCTTTTAGTCTAAGTAAGCTGCAGCAACAGCAGCATCACATCAAGTTACAGCAACAACATTGTATACTTTGTTATAGCAAGTGCTCTACGGCAACACTGGGGAGACATACCCAAAAAAAATTACCTGATGCCGAGAAAATCTCTCTCTCTCTCCCCTCTGTACACATCAGCACATGCCAATTGCGCTACAACTACATTTTGGAAAAGTACCAGCAACAATTTGCAACACCATGTACCAGAAATAAATCTATAAAACCAAAGCAAAAATAATTATTTGTAGAAGAGAGAGTTGTTTCAGAGCTTGGGCAGACCTTATTTAAAACGCCGCTCACATCGACGGCCTTTCTGTGACGCAAACAGGTTAATCACCATGTCAAACTCCACAGTGCTGAACCTCACCATCAGCTCACCTTTCAGTTTCTTCTGCACTGTGTGGCTACTGACACATTATCAGCGTGGCGTTACAGCCGCATTGCAACGGCTGCAGCCCTGTCCACATCTGGATGTGGCTGATGGTCATCTGTAGTCAGCAGTTCAGATATGGAGCACGAATTCTCCAGGCCCTGTCTCGTTTTGAGAGAATCTGTGGTCTTAGACGTGTACTTTGCGACCTGTGTGTTTGACAGGTGACCGGCTGATTGACTGTCTAAAAAGAGAACTGGTCCCCGCTGGAGTGAAGTGGGAGATTCATCAGACCCCCGCAGGGCGAGCTCATGTCCCCCACAAACTGTAATACAGTCCACAATCAGTGATAGTAAATGTCTGGTTTTCTTTACCAGCTCGTTGTGTCTCTGTACAGGATGCAGTGACCCTCATTAAGCTGACAGGCGATGTTCACTTTACCCAGCAATGACAACGTTATGCTATTTTCAATGTGGCTCGTGCTGCATTCATGTTTCCTAATTTTGTTGGATAAATATTTTAAATCCACAATTCCTTGTTGGGTCCAAGCCGTGTCTCCTCCAAACAGCAAACATGGAAACAGAAAAGTGAATTCCTAGCTACATTTGCTGTTAGCCAGTCCGTTAGCTGAAACCACGTAACACAAAATTACGATTTTGTCGTTTGTTCTTTTGTGTTATTTGAACATCGTTTGGATGATGTGTTCCCAATCTCTGTACTTCCAATTTTTCCTCCAAAGACTTTAAAGAAAATTGATAAGAAAGTAAATAATCCACCTCGTTCATGTTCATGCTAACGCCCGCCATACTACGAATTAGCCTCACTGTACTGTAGCTACTGCGCTGTGATTGGTCGAAGGTCTCTGTACTGTAGCTACTGCGCTGTGATTGGTCGAAGGTCAGCCTTTGGGCTGAATGAATTTAGCCCAAATGGGCAGCATATGAAGGGGGCGTGTCAGGACACCTGTCAATCACAATCGAATGGAAGCTTACGCTACTCTGCTTGGGCTGAATACATTAGTCCATTCACAGGAAAAAAACCAAGATATATCATATAGCTGTTGCTGCCCTAGGTTCTACCAAAATTCAAAACAATATGTTCTAAGGTTTTTAAGAACAGTTTTTCATCTTTACTGTAAAAGATAGGGGGGGCTTAGCCCTGTTAGCCCATATATACCAGCTGTCCCTGCTTGTATGTGTCAAGCGCATACTCTCCAGTAGGATCAGGTAACATTTTTTAACCAGAAACATCTGTCCAACAGTCACTGAAGGTCAATATAGTTGTCTAATCGCCCAATCCTATTATCCAGTCTTTTTACTTTTGGTCAAAGAAACCATTTGTCCCATCATGTTGCAGTTCAGAACACATTGTATCCGTCCAACTGATCCAACTGTGTGACCACCAGAGAAGATCAATAAAGTCTACATGTATAGTTACATGAAGAGGATTGGCTGGAAGTCCCTCTCAGCTATCCAATGAATGAAGAGTCTGGAGCCGTCTCACACTGAGGACACACTACCCCCCACTCCCCCTCTGCCCCCTGCCACAGACTAGGACCGCACCTACCCCCACCACCACCACTCACACACTCTGAACTCAGGGACTGCACATTCCACTTTCCCCTGTTTCTTTTGCGCAAGTCAGTATCTTGCTCCAGGTTGTCCTTCCTGGCCTACTTCAGTCTCTGTACAGTTACATCTGTGTGAGATAATGATGCAGACAGCACTTCAGGGTGGCTGTGGTGCAGAGGCAGAGCGGGTCGTCCCCGTAATTGGAAGGTTGTTGGTTCGATCCCCGCCACATGTCGAAGTATCCTTGAGAAAGATACTGAACCCCAAATTGCTCCTGATGCTGTGCATTGGTGTGAATGTGTATGAATGAGTTAATTTCTGTTTGATGGACTTCACTGAGTGAATATGCAAATGTGCCATGTAGTGTAAAAGCGCTTTGAGTTGTCGGAAGACTAGAAAGGCGCTATACAAGTACAGGTCCATTTACCATTTACCATTTCTGTAGAGGGTGTGTCCAGTTTGTAAAACAGTGCAGGACATTCTGGACACGGCAAAGACAATGTCCCAGCATCCAATGGGATTATAACTGGATTCTAGACAACATTTACTCTGCAGTGTTCAAACACTGACTGCATTTCTACATATGAGCTGTCTCGTCCTGAGGACAGAAATATATTTAGTTTAAACAGCAACATCTTTATATTTATATATATTCTATTTGTAAAGACAGAGGTTAGCTCAGTCAGACAGTGCTCAGTCAATCAACATTTATATGAAGAATACACTGCTGTCTTACCTGCACTGCCTAAAGTCATCACAGATGGTTCTTCTCCACTCAGCCGTCCCTTTGTTGGTGAAATATTGATAATTGAGTGACATCATATAAGAAAATTCCTTCCTACTACAGTAAAATACACTTATAGTCACAAGACATAGAAAAAAAAAAAAAAACAGCAACAAACATACCCGTCTGGGACTTGCTGTCTTCCTGTGTTAACACAAAACCAATGAAAAAAACCTTAATCAAAACTGAATCATGTGACACAATATTGTTATCTATCAAAAACATTATAGTGTTTTTATTGTTTAAAATCAAATCTTACCTGAGTTTAGACATCCTTTCTTCCACAATACAGCTGCTCCAATTACTAAAAAAATCACTCCTACAACAACACCGATCACAATCCCTGTTGGGTTTGAACTTTGTTCTCCACATTGAACATCAGTTGAAACAGTTCCTGCTTTTATCAGCTGAAGATTCATTGATTCACATCTGGAATGACAGAGGGAGATTTTTTACAGGAACATTAGTAGGATCCAATGAATTCACTGCTGTTGGAAGAATCCAGGTGTCTGATGTGAAGCTTCACTTACTGTGTGTGTGGCTGACAGGATGGAAATGTTCCATTTGAATATGTTCCAGCACTGCAGTCAGAGCACTCAGTGTCTGTTAATGCTGATCCTGTACAGACACAAACCAGTTCAACAGAGATATTATGAAGGGATCAAAGTGTTGATGTATATGACATCAGTACATTTCATTTGACTTACCCAGCATCCAAAAGCATTTATTTATCCCCAGTAATAATCTTCCAAAAGGTTTTATATTTCAGAAATAAGTAGCTCTTTTCTCCTATGTTTCAGGAACAGAATAATGAACAAACTGAACACTAAAATGATCCAAATATAATTTCTTCAGTGCTTTATGCAAATATTTAAGCAATGAAATCCATACTACGTTGTTGATGCCAGTTAACTAGACTAGAAAAACACGTAAAATGTAAAGGTTTTCTAGACTTCATTTCAGAATTGACTGCCTGACTTGTACTGCACCTGTATATTGAGCCAGTGACGAGTGATGGCATGCTTTCAGTTGCAAAAAAGGTATTTCAGCAGGGTATTTCAGCTGAGGCTAATTAATTAATTGAGGAATTTGATGACTGAAGGCTGAAATTACACCTGTCCTTTGTCAGGCTTGTGTGCTATACTCAGCCAAAGACTGTGTGTGAGGAACTCTTCTCTGTATGTTTCTCAAAATCTCAATATCAGGAGTCGCATTCTCCCAGTCAATCTTTCCCTAATGTCATAGAAATGATTTAAGTATTATATTTTTCGATATTATTTTTTCTTTTATTACCTTTAATCGATAGTGACAGCTAAGGAGTGATGGAAAAGGGGGGAGAGAGATGGGGGGAGACTCACAGCAAAGGGCCACAGGTCAGAGTCGAACCCATGGCTGCTGCAGTCAGGACTATATTTAGTTAAACATGGATAATGGGGGTGCCCAGTTAGCTCAGTGGGTAGAGCTGGCGACCAATGTACCGAGGCTGAGTCCCTGCTGCAGCGGCCCAGGGCTCGAATCCGACCTGCGGCTCTTTGCTGCATGTCATCCCCCCTCTCTCTCTCTGCCCCCCTTTCCTGTCTGTCTTCAGCTGTCCTATCAAATAAAAGCCAAAAAAATACTTAAAAAACATGAATAACGGATCAGACATTATTAAATGGACAACTGAGAAAAGCCGTAAAGTGGCTGGAAGCTCCTTTAAGTCTCCGCTAAATACGAGCTACCATATGGTTAATGTGAAAAGATTTTTGGTGCTGATACAGCAGGGTGAAATGTTACCAATAAAAAGGTGTTGTTTAGACACCTGCGGCCTAAATTACATCTGCAGCGTCAGGTGGTCACAACAGCTGCCCTTATTATTTTCTGTGTAAACACACCCACCACCGCTTTCCACGTGTCGGTAAATGTGGATGAGAACAATTACAGTACGTGGTAAAGCTTGGAGTATTTGGGAGAGAGATCCACAGGTCAGGCAGAAGAGCAATCTTCTTTTATCTTAAAACTATCTTAAAGTGAAAATAAACCCCTACATTCTGCTAGCTCCCTGCCAAAAACTTTAAAAACTGCAGCAGAGATATATGGGGGCAATGGCCTTGGGGCTAAGGAGTGTGTTATGCAGGAGGTAACACCAATGACCACCAACACCAACTACTCAGTGTAGTAGGAATACAGCTGCCAGTAGTCCAAGATAAACAAGCTAACCAGCCATGAACAGCTGCTGTCAGGTTCTCCATGTCCATGCTGGAAACACAGATAGTCAGTTGGAGCTTTTACAGTCACTAGAAGCACATTCAAAGCTGTTTGTAAATGTTCCTGTGAGGTATTTGTATTGTAAAATTAACTAAACTAGCGGCTAGGAGAGGCTCTCCAGTGTCTGTGGGGGAGTGTCAGTATGGCTATGTATTAGGCCACAGTCTGCAGAGTTGGGAGGGGTTTTATAAGGAGGGGCAGGGAGGAGGGGCTTGGCTGGTGACAAAAGCTGCATATTCATCACCTGCCACCAATTCAGCCAGTAGCAAAATTCAATTGCGATATTCAATTTTCAACCAGTAGAAAGCAGTTGCTATGCTTATTTAAAGTAAAATACACCTATCAGCCATAACATTATGGCCCCCTGGGCACCCTGGTGGTCAGAATGTTCTGCATCCCCATATCAACAGACTGCTCTGCACTGTGTGTTCTGACCCCTTTCTATCAGAACCAGCATTAACTGTTTCAGCAGTTTGAGCTACAGCAGCTCGTCTGTTGGATCGGACCACCTTCACTCCCCACGTGCATCAATGAGCCTTGGCCCCCCATGACCCTGTCTCCAGTTCTTTTCCTTCCTTGGAGCACTTTTGATAGGTACTGACCACTGCAGACCGGGAACACCCCACAAGAGCTACAGGTTTGGAGATGCTCTGACCCAGTCGTCTAGTCGCTCAGATCCTCATGCTGCCCACTTTGAACTAAAATGTCAAGATCTAGAACTGAATTGATTGACAACACTACTAGACACCAACAGACTGTCAGCTGGAGGTTTAGTTACTATTTTAAGTCAGCACAAGTAAACCCACCGTATTGTCTGATGTATTGTCCTGGTTGACAGAGTGTGTGTCTCTGTGCTGACATACAGCTGTCCTCTCTAGACTCCAAACAGTAGAATCCCTCCTGTGGTTCACAAACTGTATCTGATTTTGTTGTACATGATGTCTTTATCTTCAAACCAGAACCTGTAAACACATACACAGGTTACACATGGAGATTAAAAACATTTAAAACAATTCTCTTTAATTCTCTGTACAATAACAGCTAAAACTCAAACTCAAACTCAAACTGGTCATAATAATAATAATACAGTCTCCAAGCACCTTATATGTTTTATATGTTCACTTGCACCTTATATTTCTACTTTGCACTACAATTACACTGCTTATTTATAAATTTTTTATATTGCATTTTATATTGCTTTTTTATATATATGTCTAAGTTGTTCTCTTTACTTATTGTGTTGTTACTGTGTGTAATGCTGCTGCTACACTGCAATTTCCCAGCTTGGGATCAATAAAGTATATCTATCTATCTATCTATCTATCTATCTATCTATCTATCTATCTATTGGAGAGCTACATTTTCATTGTGGCAGAAGAAGAGAGATGGGGGGTAGCAGTGAGATAAGCAAGGAGTGGTCAGTTCTATCATTACTGAAAGACCCACTGATAGAAACATATAAACCTGATCATTGCTGTTAAACACTGAATGAAGGAAAGTCTATATTAACAGCTGATACCTTCACTACAAAATACAGCTTGTCTTCATGTTGAATGTGTTGTGTCTTACTTGTGTGAAAAGAGCCAGAACTCTACCTGCATCACAGACTGTACAGGACAAACATTGTGTCCGTCCTGTAGGCTGATTCATGAAGGTTCCCTCAGTGCAGGACAGACAGGAAGTACTCCTGAACTCTGTGCAATCTGTTTTAACTCGACTTCCTGTTGGAGAAAAACAACACGTCATATAATGTTTATATTAAAGGAAACTACATAATCTTGAGTAAGGGAGAGACAGTATGCTTTGCAGGAAGACCTGCCCCTACTAAGCGCTAGTGTTAAGCCGTTAGCTGATCCCAAAAGAAAATGGCATCCCACCCAAATGGAAGAATCCTGTTCAGGCTGGCAAGATAGTTTTACATATCAAAACATATGGAAAGGCCCTTCGTAATGCCATCATCATCATTCATCATTAATAGAATAAAATAACAACAATCCTAGGTTTCTCTTGAGCACTTTAGCCAGACTGACAGAGTCACAGCTCTATTGAGCCATGTATTCCTATAGCCCTCAGTAACAATGACTTCATGAGGTTCTTCAATAATCTCCACTGGGGAAGTCTGATCACAGCCTGGTCCCCCTACAGCCACTGTACACCCCCCTGGTCCAAAAACAGCCAGTGACAACTCGTACAATCAGGAGGTGGTCCCCTGAGAGACTGTTACAACACCACAGTCTAGGATGTGCTGATCAACCCGCATGGGGAAGAACTTCTGCACAGATGTGGTCTCCCCTGTCAAGACTGTCCGCTGTTACCCTAATAACAAGCCATGGGTAACGCGGGAAGTCAAGGCTGTCCTCAACAAGAAGAAGGCTGCCTTCAGGAGCAGGGACAGGGAGGCCATGAAGGCAGCACAGCAGGAGGTGAAACACTGTGTAAGGGAAGCTAATGGTGCGTTCTAATTGTCTACCTGACTCGATCTGCGAGTCGGTTTCCTGAGTTACGAACCGGAAGTTGCAAATAGAACGCCCCAGAGGTCGTATATACGACTCGTCAAGTTGTCTGAACTCAGAGGACCCCGAGTTCAGTTACCAAGATGGCTACTACGAGCATCACACGTAGTAAACATTGTGGTTTTCTACTATTTTAAAGAACTTTTGTCTTTGTTGTAACCAAATGAAGAAATTGTACACACAGCACTGTATACATAATAATATACATAATAAATATAATTATAATAATTTTATAATAATACAATTATAACTATTAGAGACAAACTTAATCTTTGACTGCTTTTTTCTCCCATTGACCTTCACCAATTAATTTCGGTGGTTTCTTCCCCTAAGCCTTCGACCTACCTCTTACACACCTGCCTTCACACCGTCTACCAGAGGAGGTGTGCATGGCGGAATGTCTTGCTATTTATTTCAGCGCCCATGTTAACAGATAGCAGTCACAAGTCTCAGCTACAATTCACTAAAGAGTCAAGGTCTCGCCTATTTGTTCCGCGAGCCGCATGTAGTAAGCAATCAGAAGTTTGCTGAGCGAACCTGAGGAAGCTGTAAGTGAAACACTGCTCGCTCTAAAATAAAACACAGTAAAGTTATTCCAGTGTGCGGTGGTCAATTCAGATTACCTCCTGTATCTGTTTCAGATTAAAAATCCTCTGCTGTTTCTGTGGACAGAATCCATTCCTGTGTTAACAACAACCTCCAGCATCGTGCCTCGTAAAATACCTGTATCTGTGCTAAAGGATGGTCTTTTGTAAAACATAAATGGAGAAAACCATCAGTGAATCATGTTCATCATCATCAGTCACTACTTTATTCTGAAACCAACTGTGAATTTCTGATATTACCCAGTGAAGTATTGGACCAAACTATTGAGCAATAATCCAGGTGACTCAAAACCAAAGCTTGAGTTAGTTGTTTGACAGTTCGTTATTCGTAGTTTCGGTATGTGTTTGTGCCATAATAATTGAGTAAATAATTATGGTGAACATAAACAGCACCAACCATGGGAGTCAGACTGACTCCACTGATCTGCACACAGTGTCTGCACCTGGCAGTAGAACTAAAGACTCCATATGGAACTACCAAAGTGAAATATCCTTCAATATTCAACTGGATCTTACCAGGAAGACACTTAGGACAGCATTCATTCCCTCTCTGATACTCTGATGGATGACATGGTAGTGCATGTCCTCTGAAGATATTCATCACAAGAATCTGTGAAGAGTAAGAAAGAGATTTTAGTTTAACCTTTGCAGGTGAGTTATAGCAGGAAGTCACATGATAATGAGGTCACATTTGTGTCATTGGAGCCATAAGAGTAAAGTCAGTGTGTGGACTGACACATAAAATACAGAGTTGAAATCTCAACAACATCGCGTCTGCGTGGTGGAACATCTTCATTTTTATTTCGACACCCATGTTAACAGATTAAAGCAGTCACACTACACTTTTACACTTTTGCGCTCTCTCTCTCTCTCTCTCTCTCTCTCTCTCTCTCTCTCGGGTAAACAAACAACACCTTTTTTCTTCACATTTACATTTAAACTATATTGCATTGGGAATTAAATCATATGAACATTTCGATTTTTTTCAACATTCTAGAGGGAAAAGTGTTTAGGGAAAGACAGAGCTGGCAGCTTCAGCTCTGCTGGAGACGCCATGCGCTGCTCAGGCGGCCTACGTGAACAGGATGTCAGGGTTGTCGACAGGTGAATCTGCATCTGTTACGGTGGAGGCACACCAGTCTTTTCCACATGTGGAATATATTTTCCCTCATCAAAGAATAAGAAGAAGAATTTTTTTTTTTCAAAACTGCTTGGAAATGTTCATTCACAGGCACTGGATGCTGCATATTTTTGCCCTTTTTAAGAAATACAACCCACTGGGTGTCCATGCCAGTCCACGTGCCCTGTAGTATTTCAATGTCCTGGATGTGTCCTTAATCAGCCTACCTCACGTTTTAATGTCTTTCTTTGTCACCTGTGATGTGAAAACATCAGACAAAGTAAAAGTGTGTGTCAGTGAAGGCTGACTGCAATGAGTGCAGGTGACATCAACTCTAACTCTCTCTCAGTAAGAGGATATATTAAACGGGGACCGGGGGCAAAAAAACTTGATTGGGACTTTTTTTATTGTGGCTTTAAGGAAAAAAAGCATTCAGGAACAGCTTTGATGAGGGCATTTTTTTCTCACTGGATTGCAGTTATTCAATTATCAAGTCTATACAATGGATGGATTTTAACTGGGGGCCTAAAGTTCAGAGAAGCGAGTTTGTGACTGGGAAGTCCTCTTGGGACTAGAAGGATAAATCTGGGTCGGGAAAGTGAAATAGATACACTTCCCATACCATCGGATTGGGACTTGGTATCGTCAGACACTCAATATTAAATGACTTGCAATGGTCTCTCCTTGAGTGCTCTATGTCTGTCTTATGTATGTGTGTGTGTGTGTGTGTGTGTGTGTGTGTGTGTGTGTGTGTGTGTGTGTGTTTGTGTGTGTGTGTGTGTGTGTGTGTTTGTGTGTGTTTGTGCTCTTCGCTTTTCTCGACAAACATTCATCCGATCAACTTTAAATGTGGTGCAGAATTTGGACAAAACATTATTTTACCAGCAATAGTGCAGCTGTCAAAGGTTTTCTTCCAAACATCACTACGGCTGGATCACAGTTTTCATGGACTGAAGACGTCGTCTCACTCAGATTTGGGAGGACGAGAGATGTAAAATCCAAAAGGAGGACACCATCTGGAAACTGAAAGAATGGTAAATGGTAAATGTACAGGGCCTTTCTAGTGTTCCGGCCTTTAAAAGTGCTTTTACACTACGTGCCACATTCACCCTTTCACACAATGAATGGTAAATTTCATCAAACAGAAACTACCTCATTCGTGCACAGCCGGGAATTGAACCAGCAACCTTTCGATTAATGATCCACATCCACCCATATCCATGTAGTGACTCACTCATCACTGTGACTGCTGAGCAAACTATCTTCAGCTTCCTGCAGTGACCAGAGAGAAAAACCTGGTTTACACAGCCAGATTGGTTCTGTAGAAACCTGATTATTAGGTTGAAACCAGTCAGTCCTGACCTCTAGGGAGCCCTCCTATCTGATCCATAAAGCATGTAAACTATTATGTCCAGTCCTAATATTACACAATTAGCTCTGTGTATACTGTGAACATGAGTCTACAGGCTGACTGCAGCTTTAAGTCTAGAATATCTGAATCGGGTCCAACTGGCTCCCCCAGATTCACTTCTATACATTTTCTAATATAAAGTACTATTTATATTATGGCTTCAATATGTATAATAATATATTTCCAGTATGACCAGCTAATCAATAGTCCATCTCCTGGCGTGACATTTCACCTTGATACAGGTAGTTACCATGTTAACGGCTAAAAAACCTCGTCATAAACATAACAGTAGTCAAAGAACAGTGTTATGAGTCTGTGTTTATTCCCACATATATTTAATCCATCAGCCACTTATTTTAGAATAAAATAATAATGATTATTGAAAGTCTGCCTCTGACAAAATCATCCAAATGTTTATCTTTATTGATTATATTGATGCCGAATTGTGACTGTGGTCATATGGCGCACTGTTTCTTTGACTTGACTTGATATTTTCCATTAAAGTACAGAACACAATGAAGACAGTGAAAGAGCAGTATGGAGCAGCTTTATTGGTCATGATTACAATAAAACAAGATCAAAATTAAAGCTGCAAGCAGCGTTGGACGGGATCTCGCACCAGGCGCGCGTCGGGTCGGGGCGTGCCGTGACCGCGTCACGTGCTGCTGGGGTGCGCTGCGGCCACGTCACGTACCGTCCTAACATGCGCGGACCACAACATGAAAGTATCACGTAAATCAGCTCAAAATCGCCCTGCAGCACTTACTTCCTGGTGCCACTAGGTGGCGCTCTCACTATTACTGAATATTATCACATAGGCATGTTCAGGGCAGGACTCTTATCAGACAAGTGAAGTTTGGAGCCGATTGGACAATGTACACTCAAGTTACAGCAAATTCGTGTTTTGTGGCGGTACATCAAAATTTCCCGCCACGCCACAGACACGCCCCCTCACCGCAGTCATCACATATCATCAACAATGTGTTTTGCATTTTGTAAGTAAATTTCAGCTGGATCTGATCATCCTGCTAGGAGTAGAACATGAAAGTATAAAACGTGATACTTCCTGTTGCCACTAGGTGGCGCTCTCACTATTACTGCGTACCAATTTTCGTACATGTCGGCCTTACGTGTCTTGGGGGCTGATTCGGGGGGGTGTGGCTTAGCCGTTTGGCAGCGCCCGTGCACGGGGACAATGTCATATCCGTATTTTCGCTACGTTTGAATTTTGTGCAAATTTTCATGACTTTTTGACAATGCTGCGGGGGTCAAATATGGGTTAGAAGGCGATTAACAAAACAAAATTAAAATCCATATGCGCGTTCTTGTCACATTCCGCCACGTTGTGTAAAAAGAACAAACGGATACAGCTGTAAGTGATGGTTGAAACATGGCTGACCTCCAGAAGGGTCCGACTGAAGTCCTTCCTCCTATTCCCCTGGGTCCGGCCGAATTGTAAAAAAAAAAGTGAAGGAGATTAACGGTGCTGAAGAAATCCGACTGTTCTATCGTTCGTGTTCTTAGTTTTTGGCGGGATGCAACTTGCTCTTCGTCTTCATTTTCTTCCTCTTCTTCTTCTTCTTCGTCGTCGTCTTCTTCTTTGGTTTTCTGGCGGACTACAAACCAACATTAAAGGTGTATGCCGCCACCTACTGTATCGGAGTGTGTTAAATCATGACTATATTGGAATTGGATTCTGTTTATTAGACCTGTTTGATTTAAGTATTTGATTAAAGCCCTTTGAATCTGTATTTGTTGGTCCCTTATCCCCAACAGACCCCTATACTCCAAACCCTTCCCACATCCATCACCCTGTCCTGCAGTCTTTCCCTTTCCATATTAAACCTTCTACAATCCATCAGCACATGTCTGACACTCTTTACAATAACATGTTTCACACTTATCTGAATCTTTCTTTTTCATAATGTTTGACGTAGCATTTAACCCTGTATGACCTAGTCTTAACCTGGTTACAATTATATCTTCTTCTCTGCTTTTACTTTTCCTACTCCTTACTGTAACTGATGTTTGAATTGTATAATAGTCCTTACCCTTGATGTCATTATTCCATATATTTTGCCAAGTTTCCACTATTCCTGCTGAATGATTGATTTGACCTCTGACCTTCCAAAACATATTTCTAAAATACCACTATCGTTTTTGTTTAATGAACTTTTAGCAAGTTTATCAGCCACCTGGTTTCCCTCTATTCCAACATGCGTTGGTATTAACATCAGTACATAGCTGTTGTAGGTTCAATAAAATCACATATATTTCCATTATTAAATTATTTCTAAATGTTTGTCCTGACTGTATAATTTAAAGTACGGCTGCTGAATCTAAACATATTACTACTTTGATTGGTTTTAACTCCTCTACCCACTGAAGACTGATGATTATTGCTATAATTTCTGCTGTGTATACTGATAACCTTTTAGTAATTCTTTTAGCAATGCTCTTATTGAATTCTGGAATGTATATTCCCACACCTACATTATCATTTTTTGTTTGACCCATCTGTAAATATATTTAAGTAGTTATAATAATGTCTGGACAATTATTCTTGAGTCAATCTCCCAATATCAAAGTTCCTGGCTTCCCTTTTCTAATATTTGTAGATTAACTTTTGGTTGTGGAAATAACCATGGGGAAATGTTATTGATGATAACTGCTGGACTGTGTTGAATAGTGTCTAGTTTATACTGTTTAACTTGTTTATATCCCATCCAAAACCTCTACCTGAAAAAGTTGTATATTCCCAGAATAGAACTGTTGATGAACTGGATCTAGTTACGTTTATATTACTCTATAAACAAATAAAAACAAAACAAAAAACTATATTCTACCAATCAATCCTGTTTATTAAGAAATCAATAAGCTATATTTATGCTTGCCGTGCCTTCTCTCCATTTATCCCTAATATCCCTTCTAGATCCCATCCTCATCCAGCCTCTCTCACCCTTTGTTGTACATGTACTCTCTCATGACTTTCAGGTCAGTCTCTCTTTGGAGGAATAAATAAAGACTCAGGACAGTCTCTGTTGTCTTATTTAGAATATATTTTTTCAAAAATACAGGTCTTTCCAACAGTCTTATATCCAAACAAACAAGGTCACAAAAACAGTGTATGGCTCTTCTGAACTAACTCTAAACAACAGAATCCAGAATCCACCCACCAAAACAACAAACTGAGGCACTCTGAGATTTTATCATGGTTCCGACCAGACTGTGTGAACCTCCTCACAGGCCTGGCAGAGTAAAGGCCAGGCTCAGTTAACCATGCCAACGCAGAAACATTTACATTTTATACCTTGAAGTCATTTTTATAGCACATGTGGAAGAACAACAATCCCACAACAGCGGTGACTGGGGTTTTGTTGATGTAACATTTTCTATTTGAAACTGAAAGAAGGAACTCGTGATCAGTCACAATGCTGATTCTCAGCATGACCCACTTCCTGAATAAAGACTCCTTTGGATATCATATATTGTAATCATACAATATCTTTACAATACATCTTAGAAACACTAACTATTTTAAATCATTTCAACACAGCAAAATTAAATCGTTTATAAAGGCAACCACAGGCTCGCACTAGTGTAAAACAACATTAACGGAGTAGGCTCGAGTTTGGATTAACAGGTGATATTATCCCGAGTGAGACTGGTTGCAATGATGAGCTCAAAGCTCGTAGTTTCTGATGTGATTAAAAAAAAGATGTTTCCATAATGAATATTTATGTATTCCTCTGGAACCAGTATGTTCTCCTGCATTTTCCAGATTCACGGGGCTCTCAAATTCAGCAGGGGCTAGCTCAAATAGTGGCATCAGCAGCTCGCAGTGGCATTTCAGGTGGCAGGTTGAGATGCCAGCGATTTTGTGGGTAGAGCTGGCGTCCCATGTACCAAGGCTGAGTCCTTGCTGCAGTAGCCCGGGTTCGAGTCCAACCTGCAGTCCCTTGCTGCATGTCATCCCCCCCTCTCTGCCCCCCTGTCCTCAACATCATTGGCATCTCAACCTGCCACTGGAAATGCCACTGCGAGCTGCCGATGCCACTATTTGAGCTAGCTGTATCTCCTCAAATCTGTAAGAGAGTATAAAGCGAGGACTATAGGGAATGGCAATGTATGTGAAAAAACACTGCAAATGTCAATAAAACATCCCAAATCCTCATGTTATCGGTCTTGTGTCATAGTTGTTTTTAATGTGTGTAATTACATCCAGCCTATAAATGAATCAGTCTGAGTTTACGCCCACGAAGCAGTGTGGAGAACTTTGTCAGCTGTGGTAGAGTGCACATTCATTCATGCTACACTATCTGTATTTACTGATGATCGAGTTTAATATTAAAATCTAGACGTTTCGCTCACTCATCCCAACAGTCTACAAAATTCAGTCAACATGTTTGCTGGAATGTCACAACTCTGTGGATTTGAATAAATTGTGTTCAGCTGGGCATCCAACTTCTGCCCATATTGGCCAAATTAGTTACAATATCTAATTTGTTTGAAAGACTTTGCTGACATGTATAGAGTATAAATAAAAGATAAAAGTCCGTCAACTTTAATATGAAACGTGATCAATGGTAGACAGATGTTGCATCACAAGTTAATCTGATCATTCATATAATGCTTTGCCACAACTCTACTTCAACATGATATTAAACATATACTGACAGTTTCTATATATAATACCACAATTCTATCACATCTTATAATCTTAGTCCCATTTATTCAAAATCCCACAAAGTTGTGAATGAACTTCAAACTTCAACTTGAGCAAGATACTGAACCCCGAATTGTGAATGTGTGTGAATGAGTTCTGTTCGATGGACTTTGCCATCACTGAGTGAATGTGTGTGAAATCACTTTGTGTGGTCTGAAGACTAGAAAGGCGCTATACAAGTACAGGTCCACTTACCATTTACCATATTCTGGTGGCTTTCTCAAATGATGAACGATAACCCTTCCAAATCTGTGTGGTTGTGTTTAAGTCCAAATCGAAGTGTGTATGTGTGTGTGATATTGAGCATAGCGTTAGTTCAGGCAGGGCACGAAGTCAGGCTTAGCTTTCAGTTACAGCTATATCATACGAGCACAGCTAGTCATAAACATACATCAGCTGATTCCTCTAAGCTTCCCATTGAATACCATACACAGTCAGCTGACAGCTCATCTGATTTCCTCAAGCATCCAATTGGCAAACATCATGCATGGCGCCTTATTTAAGCTGCTTTAGCCTGCCTGTCTATCTCTGCTGCTCCTCTACAAGCCTTTTGCACCCACCTCCACCCCAGCTCCTCCTTTTTATGTTGTTTCTAATTAATCAATGTCATTTTCTGATTGCCATTGATGCTTGCTCTGTTCTGTACCCTGGGGGGTCTCTGCTGCCGCTCTCCTTGTCTTAAACTTTTCCATGTATGCACATGGAAGGGCAGGGAGGTGTGCTCTCCCTGCCTTAAGGTTTTCCACGTAGGCACGTGGAAGGACAAGGAGGTCCCAGAACAGAGCCATACCGCCAAATGTAAATTCTGCTTGGAATATAAGATATTTTGACGAAAGTGGTCCTGACTGAACTTAGATTAATGGTTCCAAATTAAGTTTGTTTAGCAGTAATCTCTAATCTGTGATCTCTACATGAATATGTGTTCTTTCAGTTTCCAGATGGTGTCCTCCTTTTGGATTTTACTCTCAGTGAGTTTTCATGGACTGAAGACGTCATCAGTCCATGAAAACTGTGATCCAGCAGTAGAAAATGATGTTTGGAAGAAAACCTTTGACAGCTGCACCATTGCTGGTAAATCATTTGTTATTACAGTCAGCTTTTATTTGCTTAGTTGCTTAGTTATTTACTCTTATGGCTCCAGTGACACAAATGTGATCTCATTATCATGTGACTTCCTGCTATAACTCACCTGCAAAGGTTAAACGAAAATCTCTTTCTTACTCTTCACAGATTGTTGTGATGAATATCTTCAGAGGACATGCACTACCATGTCATCCATCAGAGTATCAGAGAGGGAATGAATGCTGTCCTAAGTGTCTTCATGGTATTGAATATTGAAGGATATTTCACTTTGGTAGTTCCATATGGAGTCTTTAGTTCTACTGCCAGGTGCAGACACTGTGTGCAGATCAGTGGAGTCAGTCTGACTCCCATGGTTGGTGCTGTTTATGTTCACCAGTGAAATGTATCTGTGAAGGACTCTGACTGGAGTTTTATTCCAACAGTAAAACAACAAGCTGTCATTTATATATTCTTTTAAATTTATATTTTTTCAACTTGAGCTTCATCTGGTGGTAGAAAGAAGAATGACACTGTAGTAGACAGCAGTGTATGTCACTTTGCCAAGCTCACAACATGCACTTTACTCTCAAGATGATACATTTTCATTTTAATAGAAACATTGAAATTGAATAGTTTTTCTCTCCAACAGGAAGTCGAGTTAAAACAGATTGCACAGAGTTCAGGAGTACTTCCTGTCTGTCCTGCACTGAGGGAACCTTCATGAATCATCCTACAGGACGGACACAATCTTACTCCTGTACAATCTGTGATGCAGGTAGAGTTCTGTTCATATTTCCTGGTTATT